CATATGGAGAATCTGTGCTTCATTGTAATCTGAAAATGTCTTAAGTTAGGAAAAGATACATATCTATATGTACACATGCGTGTGTTTCTCTAGTGTCCTTTACTGTTTGGACAATCAATCTACATTAATGAAGAAAGAACAAGAAATAAACTCCCTGTCTTCTTCTCATCCTCAGTGCTGTTGTCTGATAGATTAAGGTATTACATTTCCAGGTACTGTGCAGTACCTGTTTCTACAAGTGTTCTCTCTAGAAGGAGAAAACTCAGATGCTGATTTCCAGATGGAACTGTCAGAGATACTCCAACCATCGAGATGTTCATGGTGGTCTCAGCCGCCAGTTGTCAAGAAGGATGACGGCAGAAGCCACATCTGTCTATTGTATCCTGGCCCAGAACAGAGCCCGGCACCCATGAAGGATTCAAGTGTCAACTGCGTGAATGAAATGAGCACATGTAGCCTCCTCAAGCAGACAGAAGGACTTCTAGCAAAGATGAAGGTCATAGATTATAGAGTCTGAGCATTCTGATATGGTCTTGGCAAATAAATTTACATATATTATTTTTCTATATATATGCATAGTAAAATGAAAAGTCATCTTTCATATCTCTCACATAACATCTTTACCTCAATCTTGGAAATGTTAACCTTAAATTTTATTACAATGTTTTGTTAAAAAAAATATCAACAGGCATGTAAAAAGAGCACCGGTCCAATTCACTATTTGTGCAAGATACAGGGACGGGCAGGAATTTAGATACAATTTAAATGTGTCTCTATGCAAGAAAATGGAATGGGTAAAAATTGTCTGCAAGAAAATGACAAGCATGCTTAGTTATAAGCAAAGAAAACATTATCGTTTGGATTTATAATCTTCTTCAGCTGCTAAGTGCAAGGTCAGCAGTTCGAAACCACCAGCTGCTCTGAGGGAGCGACTGGGCGTTCTTTGCATGCTCATAAAGAGCTCCAGTCGCAGGGAAACTCACAGGGGCAGGACTCTCCTGTCCTGCAGGGTGACTGTGAGGTGTCATCGACTCAGGGCAGTGGATTTGGAGTTTGCTTGCCTTTTAACCTGATTCTCGGTGATACATGATACTGAGATATCTACTGAAATGATTCCCCCTGAAGATTACACCCTCGATTGGCCTAACCTAGAAACATGAGAGGAAAGAGAAGCTACAATGTTGGTTATCGATGCATCTTACAGTCAAAGAGTTGAAGTTTGGTGCTATGGGAGAAGAACTAAAGACAATATTCACTCCATAGAGAATAAAATAACAAGCCAAAATGTAATAATTTAACTTTTCTTGAAAGCCCTAGACGTTCCCGTTTTTAAAATTATATTTGCCTCTTTGTTTTACAAAACTCTCACAAATATTACCTCAGAGGAAATGCAATCTGTCAAGATTTGAACTAATAACTGTGTGCTGACATTTAGGAAGCAAAAATGATTACCTCAAAAGGTCACGTCAATCCATCCTTGAATGATGATAACTGCAGCCAGCCTATTAATTAATGTCTGGAACACATGGATTTTCATGCTTGCACAACTAACTTTCACACATCTAGTGACAGAAGGGGGTCTTTCTTTAAGGAAAAAAATAATCCTAATATTGTGATTTTTGCTTACTATCAGTAAAAGAAAAGAAATCATAAATCTACTTTAGAGAATACAAATACATTCCATCTAATTCTGTTTTTCAAAAGCAAGGGAAAACAAGGTGAATTGATTTTATCCAAGTGTGTCGGTTTAGGCAAATCGAACAGTTGTAAGCTGCCCTTCTTAAATAACATGATTTTTCTGTTTCAGTCCATAGTTAAAGAATGAACTTGGTGAACTTTTCCTCTTTGGAGAGGGTGGCTCACCCTGAACTTGACAAGGCTGGTGTTCTTGCAACCCCTGTGGTTCTCAGTAGGTCCCTAAATCCTTCATAAGACTTTCTGAATTGCCTTATATTCAGATGTAGGATATAAGTATATATAGACTGTTCCTGCTCAAAAGTTCATCTATAAAACGTAGGAGAGAAGTAATTTCCAAATGATGAATCTTTCAAATACCTCTCTATTTGATATCAGAGCCTTGTGGTTACAATTTGGACGGGCAGAAGCCACTAGCAGCTCCTGGGCAGAAAGGCAGGCAGGGCTTTCTACTCCTTAGAGAGTCACAGTCTCAGAAACTCACAGGGGCCGTTCGCCCCTGTCCGATGGGATCGCTGTGACACACTAGGGAGTCAATGGCAATGAGTTCTTTGCTTTGCTTTGGTTTTTGTCTTAGGATGGTTAATCCCCGTGCCATACAGCATCTTAGATATTTTTATATAACCTATAGATAAAAGGATTATAAATCATATCTATGGACTACCAGGATGGAGTCCCTGGTTGGAACAAAAAGCAAAGCACTCAACTACTAACGAAAAGGTTGTTGGTTCAAACTCACACAGACGTGCCTTGGAAGAAAGCCTTGGTGATCCATTTCCAAAAGGTCAAGAGCCTTGAAAATGCTGGGAGCCGGTGTACTGGCATGAAAGAAACCCAGCAGACAGTCAAACACAACAAAACAACAGCCCAACCCCCTCGCTGTCGAGTTGATTCCAAATCAAAGAAATCCTGTGGGGTTGGTTTCCTTTCAGAAGCCGACTGCCGCCTCTTGCTCCCACAGATGGGCTGGTGTGTTCTAATGGCTAACATGTGAGTTAGCAGCTAAGCACTTTAACCACTGTGCCCTGGGAGCCTCAGAAAATATAAGGGGACTTCAGAAAGTATGTGGAAACTTTTTTTTATCTTTTAATATTATTTTTCCACCCACAAACTTTTTGAAGTCCCCTGTAATAGGTAACTAGTAGCCACCAATATTGTTCATTGTAAAACCACATGGAATCTGACAAAAAACAAGAACCCAATTATATATATATGTTTTTTTGTTGTTAAAATAAGGTTGGGTGTGAGAGATGTGTACTCATGGGATTCTGAGGATGTCATGGAGAATACATGCTCAAGCCCCCATTTAACATATTAGCTTACACATTACCTTTGACCTATTGTACAACATTAAATGTCCTTGTCCAAAACCATGGGCATAATGTAACTCGTAAAAACACAGAGAGATTAATCTGGAATTTAAATTACTGTGAAGATGAAGCCCATCTACCATTCAAAACAGGAACCCAAGAACTTAGAAAAGTAAAACAATTTCCCTCCACGCCTAAATCAATATCTTTCTAACTCCCTGGCATCTTCCATATTCTTTAAAACATAAAGCATTATTAGCAATGACAATGTATCTTTTCCTTCCTTGGTGATTAAATAATCTTAATGGGAGCGAACAGATCCGTATGGAAGTGCTCGCTCTGCACGGAATTGTTGTGATTGCTAATGAATCCCAGCAGAAGTCCTAGCCACCGCCTCAAGGGGTCTCAAGACACCCACCTTCCAAAGCCCGTGCAGGCAGTGCTTGGAGGAGGCAGCGGACCTAACAGGGCATTTTTCTTGTTTTCCCTAAGGTTGGTGTTGCTAGGTGCCAGCGAGTGGTTCCAACCAGAGTGGCCCTGTGTATAAGCCTGCCCGGTCCTTGCTCACCCTCACAGTTGTTCTCAGGTGGAGTCCCTGGCTGCCGCGACAGTGTCCATTCATCGTGCCCCTACACGATTTAGTCCAATCCTGTCTCTTCAGCTGGAAAAAGTGACTATTTTCGTCATTTGCATTTCCCATCACTATCCTCCCCCATTATTTATCTTTCTCTTCTTTACAGAAACTACAGACGTGAAAGTTGACACCGCTTTTCCCCTACAATGACCTAGAGCAACAGCAGCAAGAGAAGAGAACACTCGTGGGTCGAGGTATCTAATCCAGGCAATGTGATTTCCGCCCCGGCCCCCCACCCCCCCCACCCCCGTTTCACTGTTTTATTGACGTATAATCCACAAACCATACAATCCAACGGCTTACGTATGTTAAAGAGAGTTGTGATATTTTGGCAAGAGGAGGTTGGCTCTCCTATTTGTACCGAATCTCCAAAGTTGTAGTGTACACTATTGAAATCATCAGGAAACCTTTTATGGAATCTCAGAAATAAACCATTTCTAACTCTCCATGGATTTTTAAAAGTAAGTTGTCCTTCGACACTGTTGTAGCTGTTTCATGATCTATTTCAACACAGTGCATGTGTAATTTCAACCCAGTTTCTGGATGTGATGTGGTATATGGCTTCAATACCAGGGTAAAAGTCCACATTTCCAACCAAACAGACCTGAGTTTCCCTTTAGCAAAAGAGCATATTCTCAAATTCCCTCTTGTTATAGGAGCCAGTTGGTTTTGAGCAAATAAGTTATTCCCACATGAATCCCTGCAGAATTAGATTTGAAATTATGAAATTTGAAATCCTTGTTGGATTTTAATGAATCTATAAAACATGAATATTGTAAGCAATCAGTATACAAGTCTCTCACCAATCTGGTTTAATTAATTCCTAGATGTTCTTGTCAATGGAATAATTTCTGTAATTCTTTTTTCAGGTTTTTGTGTGTTGGCCTCCTAGCCTACCACTTAGCCAAATTCATTTATTAGCTTTAAGAGCATTTCATGTGAAATATCGGGGGTCTTCTATACCTAAAATCATGTCATCTGCAAAAAGAATAGCCCTTCTTCTTCTTACCCAGTCTGGATGCCTTTTACTTCTTTTTTCTTGCCCAATTGCTCTCGCTACAATCTCTCAAAGCAACATCAAATAGCCGTGGTGAGAAACATCCTTGTCTTGTCCCTGACCTTAAGGGGAAAATTCTCAGTCTGCAATATGTAGACATAACCAACAAAGTTGTCAATTCATCTAATTATCACCTGAAAGTTAGCCTCTACTTGAAGGCAATTCTCCAGGCAATCTGAGGAGCCTTCCTAGACATGGAGCTGGTTACCCCGGGAGGCATCGGTCACAAGAAATAAAAGATGACAGGACAAGCATTGCTGCATCAGGTGAGGCAGATGGCAGGTGGGAGGGGGGGCGCACTCACCACTGCCTCCTCCTCGGGCTCCTCAGGCTGAGCATCCAGTCCCGGTGCCAGGCCAGCAGCAGGCGCAGCGGAGACAGGAGGCTCTTCTAGGCTCGGCTCTGTGGGTTGAGCTTGTTCAGGTTCAGCCTTTGTTTGTTTTGAGGGTTAGACAGAAAGGATTCAACACGTGAACAGAGAACATTACAATATACTTGACAAATGCAGTTTTATTTATCATCCCGTAAGTAACTAGCTTCATTAAATCGGTACTAGCTAAGAACTCCCACAATTGGCATCATGGGCTTTTATAAAAGGGAAAGGTCCAGAGATGGACTCTGAAGTTTCTTGTTTTACCATAATCCAGAAACATCATTTCCCGTGACTTTATGCAAAGTCTGACCAGCGGACTATACCTTTTACACACTTTCATCATTTTGATTACTTACAATCCTATTTAGCAGAGAAGCAGAGAGAAAGTCAGGGGAGGGAAGTATGGAGGGAGAGAAGAAGGGAGGAAGGATATTTCAGGTGCTCCCACATTTACCCATTGGAAAAAGTGAGGAAGATCCACCTTGGGTACATAATTCTGTTGATATGCACAGCATCAAAATATCAAGGGATCTGCCAATGTTAAATTAAAATACATTAATTTTCATTAGTTCATCACTACGGAGCCACACTGGGTCACTTCCAAGATTGGGAGGGATAGGTCAACTACCTGGAAAGGAGCCATCACAACTACCACGGCCGTGTAATTACCAGTCCTGTCTCTCGTCTCCCCTTCCCCTCTAATAAAATCCCCAGCAACTGATCTATGTCTTATAATCAACCAATTCTTAAGGTGTCACAGGGAAGAATTCTCTGTGACAGGATCCATTTAATTGTGTAGACAAACTAAAAATATTTTCATTCTATTGTGGCCTTTCTCTACAGAGATATCATCCTGACTCTAATTATATGCTGGATAATGTCTCCAGAATCTCTTAGCACAAGACCTCTTCCATCCTGAAATTAAAAATAATAAAATGGAATTGGCCATTAAAACACCACAGTTAATAATGACATCAAAGCTAGTGAAAATGGTCCCAATATCCCCCATTTTATTACTGTACTAATATAATATCCTATTATATTTATAGTAATTAAGTATAAGCATATTTATTCAGCATAATTGTTTCACTGAATGGATGGACAAGGGAGAGCTCATTAAAATCCCTCTCCATCAGAACATTTAAACCCTTAAAAGAGTTAAGAAGTGTTTTGCCAGAGGAGTAAGAAGTCAATGCCTAACACTAAAAGTCACTTCTGCCCGACTCTCAGCACTAACACAAAAGATACCTCTGATATTTCGGTACATTCACTGTGTACTTGACACTCTTCAGAGAGAGGTAATGGAAGAGTTATATGGATCCTATAGAAAATGAAGGCCTAGCAATAGATAAATATACTATATATTTGTCTTGTGCTCCTACTAAGTCCTTGATTGCTCTGTGTGCCATGACCACACTGCTGTTCTTTTCAAGAGCCATCATAAAATGAAAGAATAGTTTGGTAGACAAGTAGGCAAAGAGATGTGATATATTTATGGGCTTTCATAAACTGTAAGAGGTAGTCTGACACAAATTTAAAGAAAGAATGTAATAAAATTCACTCCAATAGGACTTTAGAAGGTGTTTCTAGGAGAGGACATCACTTTGATATTTAAAAAGAATAATCATGATGAAACAATTATTTATCATGGTAAACCAATTCTATAAGCTCTTGTGGTATGACTGCATCATTCACAGAAGTCCAGGTGATTTGCTATGAGAGCCTGATCTCAAATGACCTGTACAATGGAGGACCTGAAGGTTAGTTTGGTAAAGCACAAGAAATGCCCAGCAGATGCTGCCCCTATAAGATGAATCTATAGCGTGGGAGCGTGTGAAGCCATCTGAGAAGCCAAAAGAAGCTTCAAAACATGAGTCAAATAAATATATTGCTGTCCATAAAAACACAAAGATAACTGAAACTAAAGAAAACATCGGCATCTGAGTCTGTTTGTGGAAAGTCTGAAATAATGTTCAAGGTTCATATCAGGAAGAATATTCACTGCCGTGAAGTTGGTCCTGACTATCAGTGACCCTACAGGACAGAGGAGACCTGCCCCTGGGAGTTTCCGAGGCTGTAAGTCTTTGTGGGAACAGACAGCCTCATCCTTCTCCTGAGGGTAATTTTATAAATGAGGGTACTTACATTTCTTTGCTGAACTTTGAAATTGGCATGATAATGTAAAGCCACATCACAAGCAATATTACCATGTAGTATTCCAACTAATTGACTTCAATTGCAGGAGAGTAAGTGTAACTCATTGGGTGATAAATAAGGATGAACCAAGGTAATACGACTGTCCATCAAATCAGTGGCTCATATTTAGAAACTGAAGTAACTCTTCTATTTCTTCCGAGGCAAAGTAAAGTTCTAAACATTGTCAAGATAGAGCAAAAAATGAAGAAAAACTGTGAACACCATTTCACAGAAAGGTCTATAATAGTTGGGTCAGAATTGTACCTTGCTTTAGCCACTATTATTTCTCTACAAGATGTTTCCCTTGACATATTACAGATGATGGAAACCATACTGTGCTGTACCGTACCATACCATATCATACCACCCTACGGAATGCAAGTAATAAGATACTATTGTTTGCTTACATAGCATCATTATACACTTATGAGAGACGCTCGTATTTATATTTATTTATGGTGACAGGCTGCCATAACAGTATGACTTTAAGAATCAGAACTGGAATTCTTCCTTTACAGCAAGAAAGAGTGTAGTCATTGGACACATTTTCTGTTAACCTCTTTGGTATAATGAAAGTGGGTCAATGTAAAGGAAGAGGAGATGCACTAAGGGACCACACAAACACCAGTCTCAACAACCCCAACCTAGAAGAACTAGCCGGTGCCTGGCTACCACTACCAACTGCTCTGGAAAGAATCACATTCGTAAGACCCGAGAAAAGTGCGGGGACATACAGGATAAAACTCAAAATCATACAAGAGACCAGGCATACTGGTAACATAGAACGAGCTGAGACCCCTGACACTGCCGCCCCTCATCCCCATTCATGTCTGGGACTGAACTCCCCTTGGATAATAGTATAATCAACCATTTAAGATCCAAAGGACATCATTTACTCAAGTGCGAAGTCCAGAGGGACAAAGGAGGACTGGAAACAGGGTGCTAGGGAGGGAGTGGGATAAGCGATGGCACTTCGAGGAGGCTGCAATGAGTGAGCTGAATCAATGTGGATGGATTGTTGAATGTGACATTCCTATTTGCTCTGCAAACCTTCACTCGACTCACAATAAAAATCTTTTTTTAAATGAATAACACTGCACGTTTCCTACGTATCCCTTCCCTAACTTGTTCTTCAGCAACTTCATCTTCAATCCTGTGGATTAAGTTATAAATTAACTTCTTCAACTCTAACGGAGGGTGGCCTCGGGCATTTCAGAGTAGAATTGAGCTCCACAGGTTTGTCTTTTCCACTGTTAGAATTGTACGTGCGGTGAGAGTTTACAGAGCAAACTACTTGTACGTTCAACTTGCACACTTTTGTTCTGTAACCCTCACCGTAATCCCCTCAATCTGACAGTGCTCTGCCTGCTCGCCCCAGTTCATTTCCACCTTACTCTTTTTCCTTGGCTTTGCCAGTCCTTTGAGACTAGGGTGGTGGGGGGTGGGGATGGGTGCAAACGCTTCCCCCATTGGGCTCATATGATTGATTGCTCTGAGGAACACATTCCTCACAAATGTTTTTATCATTGTCTAGGGCTGTCTGCGGTTTGGCTGCAAGACGATTCAGGCTGTCTTCAGTTCGTGGCTTGAAGGGTCACCTTCTCAGGGATTTAACTAGTCTCTAGCGGACCAAGTCAGTCTTATTTATGATGTTGAATGTTGTTATATAGTTTCATTACATCCTGATCAGGACCTTCTCTGATCTCAACTGAGTGGTGATTACTGGTCGCTGGGCACCATCTACTAGTTCTGATCTCAGGGTAATTGAGGCCGTGGTGTGTGTGGCCCTTTACTCCGTTAAACTAATTGGAAATCCTTGAGTCTGTGATTTTCTTCACTCTTCGTTTCTCCAGGCAGTGGACTATAATTCTTTATGGGAGTAGAAAGGCCCACCTTTCTCTCACCATTTCCTATTAGCACCATGGAAATAACCCTGTCCTTGGTGGATTTGCTATAGTCCGTCTTTAGGAGCCCTTTCGCTGAGATCGTGATCCTTCGATACATGAAAACAGAAGTCACAATGGAGTCAGTAGCCACAGGGAGGTTTCCAGAAGCTTGCAGAAAATAGGGAGCTAGAGCAACCATACTCTGGATATTCGAGTCCTAGACAACTTAGAATGAGCCTTCAAGTGTGTAGTGATATTTATTTATCTCCCCAAACCCAGGCCAAAATCAACTCACCAAATTAGAGATCATACTCTGGTCTGTCTGCATTGTGAACAATGATGTATCCTGAGGCTTAACGTTGAGGAGAAAAGAAGAAAAGTTATTTAATGTCCCAGCTGATTAGATAAAAAGAAACCCCTGGTATAGTTAATAAAAATAATAGGTAACTTTAGTCTTGATGCATCAAGTATGAGAGCAAATTAACAAGTGTTTCCATAAAATCATGAAAGACTTTCATTACATAAAAATACCAAAATGTGAACATATCACTTTTCAACACATCTAGCATCCAGGTCCACACATGTCTAAAGTCAGTGTCTATAATTTCACAACCTTCCCTACAGAATTCTGTACTCTTCCATTGATACCACATCAAGATGGTACTTTCGGTGTCTTTCGGGGACTCACATCATGTCCCTTTCATTTCTTTTTCTTAGTTTTGGGGGAAAAAAAGAAGAAGAATGAAAGCTGCTTTCCATTGAAATTTCACAAAGAAATTCTGGTAGCAGAAGGCTCGCTCTCTTTGAAATGCAGGTACAAATCCCTGGCAGTTATTCCTGCTCTTTCTCAAAAAAGTGGTTTCCTATTTTCTTAAAACTTCATGATAAGCCCTCATGATGGCCCTATGTCATTTGAGAAAATATAAATAGCAAGCCCCTTTGGGATTCCCCCCAAAACAGTCTCCATAACCTTTTGAATTCTGCCTTGAATTTAATTGGCCCAGCAGAAATCCCTGGCAACCAGTTTGGATTGGACCTTTTCTCTCTTGCTTGCTTGCTTGCTTTCCTTTCTGCAGGCATCCTGATGAGACTAAGTGGATTGCGGAGAGAATTGGTCTGCAGCCTATCCATTGATGATGGAGACAGGTTGAAGCATGCTTTGTTTGGAATAAACCTGTGTGTGTGTTAACTGGTACCCTAGCAGCATGTCATGACAGTCGGACTTCCTCTGATTTATGTTAGGCTATGGGGCTAAGTGCTTTCTTTATGCATTTAGTGATAATACCCCTACAATGTCGTTTCTATCACTGTATCTCTGACTCAAGTCATAAGTTGTGGGATTGGTGTATATGCTATACCCTTAAACTCTGCCAGATCAATGGCACTGGAGCCTCTAGGGAAATTGATTGCTTACCTGTGCAAATCCATTAAATGAACCATCAGAAGCCTAAGTAGAAATGGAAATGAGAGTGTATTATTTTTTCATCACTTTTAAATGTTAAGTAAATGTCCATTTGACAAGTTGGAAAGACCATCACAAATTTTAAAATAATACAAAAGGTTACTGTGAGCAAAAATACTTAAGGAAATGCAAGAAGCCGCACTGTATTATTATAAATAGGCTGACCAAAAAAAAAAAAAAAGTTGGTGGGTGATTATTTTGCAATTATTGCTTGTATAGGGTCCGCTATTATTCAAAACCTGCCTCTTCATTAATGAGATGAAGCTTCCCCAGAGAAGAGCTATAACAGGTTAAAGAGCTCTTCCCCTCGCCCCACCCCCCACTCCCACCCAAGGTCACTGATAGAAAAACTGGAAAAGCTTCTGAAGTCTATCGCATGTCATGATGACAAACATCATTAGGTTTTCCTGAAGTGGAACCTCTAGGACAGTGAGTGATTTAGGTCTGCTCTTCATTGTGCGTATTTCTACTGCTTGAGTCATAAAAGGGACAGTAGGACGAACAAACTACGTAATGGGAAGGTAATATATATTTCATTATTTCCCTTCACAATCACTTTTTTTTTTTTTGGTCAATCTATTTGTGTTGGGTTTACACAGATTTCAAGAGTTGCATGCCATTCTGTTAGGAGGGTGAGGTAGGCCTTGGAGCAGAGAGGTGACGGACGATGACTATGGGAGAGACATTAGGACACAGCGCCTACAGCAGTCTTTGGCTAGTCTATACTACACACCGGGGGAGTACCTCTTCCTTATGAGCCTCTCTGTCCTGGTACAACAGTCCATATCTCTGGTTAGCAATTTCATCTTCAGATAAATCTGAGCTGTTGGTGTCATGGTCTTGGGAACTAGAGGAACTCTCAGGGCTAGCATTCCAGGAATTTCCCCAAACCAGTGACCTAGCTCTCTCTTGGTTTTGTTCCAAGCAGCTACCAATGGCTTCCTCCCCATAGACAGCTGCTATTGAGTCCATCTCCAGCTCTTTCTTGTTCTCAGCTCGGTCTAAATGTTTGCCAGGGTTATCTATGTGTCCCATAGCTCTGGTGGGCCAGTATTTAATAAAATCTGGACAACTGGTAGATCCACTTGCTTGGCCATCTGGAAGACCAGAGAACCTGAATATATTCTTATTATTGATGGCTGAATCCAAGCTTTGGCACCAGATTGGACCTGAATCTCTTGCCCAAGAGTCTGTCTTTGCAATTCGTGGCAAGTTAACAATATGAATACAATTCCCAGTCACTGGTCTTTCAGACCCTTCTATTAATGAATGCTCTGCATTACAGGAACACCAACCTCGTATGTTTGCATTAGTTCCAAGAGAAGAATTAAGGTCACTCCTAGACTGAGCTGCCACTTCACAGTTTAGGGATAAAAAAGCAGCTTGGTTTTTATCCCTGCCACTTGCAAGAGCATTTAACGCAGCCTCACACTGAATCTCTTCAGTAGCTGCACTGCCTTGTGCTGCACAATCTACTGTATCATGGTTAGGTGAGTCCACACAATTTATGATGTCTTTTCTACCTAAAGCCCATCCCTCAGGGATGGCTTCTGTAATACTGGTGGCAGAGATAGCCCCGTGAGGCCAATTCAGGCTGTCTGCTTGACTGGCCGGGCTAGTTCCAGAGCCCTCTAGGATTTCACAATTATGTATTACTTCTGGGATCCCAGCATCTAGTCCTTGGCCTGTGTTACTTTTAATTATTTTTAAGGTCTCTGGGGCTTGATTTTCTATTGTCTCAAGAAGAGGAACTAACCAGCTTCCTCTACATTCATCAGCTTTCTCCTGAAATTCCTGCGTCCCTTCTAGAGCCTTGATGGCAATCGCTCTAATGTCTACCTTTTCACATGTCTCCACACCTGCCCACATAGAATCTTCTATCTTCTGTTTCTCTTCCTCCTCTTCTGCCTTTGCATCTTCTTCCTGATTTTCTTTGAGCAGGCCACCAGTTGCCGTGACTGGCATCTGTGGGTCAAGCGAAGATTCAGCAAATGCAACCTCAGGTTCAGGTTCGGAGGGCAGCTGTTCATTTCCACCTGGCAGTGCTGGCTCCAGGTCAGGTTCACCTTCCTCAGGTACAGTGGGCCAGTCAGTGGAAGAGAGACATGCAAGGTCTTCCATCGACCCATCCTGGGCAATTTCCTGGCTGATACTCTCTGTACTAGCATCAGGGCCCCAAGCAAATACACCTAAGTCAATTTGAGATCTTTGAATTTCTTCGGCCAACCCACTGTCTGGAGTTTCCTCCATGATCAGGTTACACAGGGAAAGACTTTTTGAAGAGTCAGTCTTTAAAGAATGCAGAAGAGTAAAGGGGGGGAAAAACACACAAAAAATAAGATGAAATAGATCATGGTCAGATTTAATGAAAAGCATAAAGCTCTTTAGTAGGGTAGCTCCAATTAAACAAAACTAAAAAGTGGCTAAATTAAAGGCTTAAGGTTAAGACTAGCAATGCAGTGAGAAATAGCCTCTTCTAGATATGTAACATGTATACAAAGCACATCAACTACCACAAAATCCAGAAATTTCTGGAAATATACCTACCGGTTGTACCAAATCAGTGCTTGTCTGTATGAATTTAAGGAAGAAAAAAAGAAGAAGACAAGAAAAGAGAAGAAAATTAACTGGCACATTAAAATCTCCCACTGTCTAGAACAAAGATTCTGCCGAGGGCTGGTCTTTCACTATTTGGGGATTGAAGTTTAAGCTCAACAACTCATTTTGGGATCAGAATATTTTGGGGGAACAGGCATAAATGGAGCACAAAAAAGCCTTTGTCGTTTTCTAGCGTCAAAAAGGATGTTTTAGGGCTACTGTAAAGTTGTTCTCTAGCAGATTTAAATGCAACGTTTCCAATAAGTAAATGAGCAAGCCTAAGAGCAGGGGTCCTCAAACGTTTTAAACAGTGGCCATTTCACTGTCCCTCAGACCTTTGGAGGGCTGGAGGGAGCGGGGAGCGGGGAGGGAGGGGAAGACATGGGGAGCTGTTGCCAGGGGCTTAGGTGGGGAGCTAATGTTTTGAGAATGATGAGGACAATGAATGTACAAATGCGCTTTACACAATTGATGTATGGATGGACTGTGATCAGAGTTATATGAGCCCCTAATAAAACGCTTAAAAAAAAACTATGAACACATTCCTTTGCACACTGCACATATCTTATTTTGAAGTAAAAAATCAAATGGGGCTAAAACACCCAGCAGGCTGCATAAATGTCCTCAGTGGGTCACAGGTGGCCCACGGGCCGTGGTTTGAGGACACCTGCCTAAGACCAGCAGAAAGCCACAAAATTATATGATACCATATGCTCTCACACAAAAATCTGAAGAAAGTCTTCCTAAGACTTATCCCTCCTGGGTTCAGCCCTTGAGGCATGAGTTTGAGGGGGGAAATGATCTGATGTCAACCACCCTGACTTCCACACAGTTCTACGCCCCTGAAGAGGAATTTATAGATTGGTATTGGACATATGGGCTAATATCGTACTTATGGGCTTGATCTGGACCTGGCTGGGATGTTTTCTCAATATTCAATTACCCTTTGATATAAAAATCTCTCTTACACACATATGAGTGTCTATGAATTTGTTTCTCTAGTCTACCCAGACTAACACAGGGGCTCTTACAGCTCTTATAACAATCCAAATAACCATTGTATCAAGCACATTAGTACATATGTTGCCATCATCATTTTCAAAACATTTTCTTTCTACTTGAGCCCTTTGTATCAGCTCATTCCCCCACCCTCATGAAACCTTGACAATTTATAAATTATTGTGTTTTTCATGCCTTACACCAAGTGGATAAAGTTTAAATTTTTATTGATGAAAGGTTTTCATACAGTAATGAAAATACAGATACATTATTTCATGTGCAAGGTTGCCCATCTCTTATACTTACTCAGCCATACTTTGTAACATCAGCAACATATGTGCATGCTCTTCACCTGCAATATCTTCTCCAGCCACCAATCACCACAGGAACAGGAGAGGGTCACAATAAGCACTCTAGACTACTGGGCAGCAAGGAAGCTGGCCCACTAGCACTCTGTTCTTCACCATCATTTTCAGAATCTAGTCATTCTGGGAACATTGCCCCCAGAGACTACATTACCATTAAATGTAAATAAGAGGTTACCAAATTAGTTCTAGAGATGCAGAACCCCCCAAATTCATTGTTCTTAATGCTCTTACCGTCCATAGGTCCCAGGGCAGTGTCTGAAAACAAACAAACCAACAAAATACTGTTAAATACACAAAATTTAAACACATGAAAACACTGAGGTGATAAACATGGGTCCTGAAATAAAATCATGAACACTCTCTTAACACTTAGTCCATCACTGTTCAATAACAATCTCTTTGATTATAGACACATTCCATATCTGTGTTTTCCAATAAGGAAGCCTCTAGCCTTGGTGGCATAGTGGGTTACACGGTGGGCTGCTAACCTCAAGGTAAGCTGTTCAAAACCACCCGCAGCTCCTGGAGAGAAAGATGAGGCCTGCTACTCCTGTAAAGATTCATAGTCTCAGAAACCCCCAGGAAGCAGTTCTGCTCTGTCCTATTGGGCCACTACGAGCCGCAATCAAATTGATGGCATTGAGAGCCACATGTTGCTAGTGATCACATGGAAATGGAATAATACAACTAGAGAACTATGGCTGATTTCGCATAATGTTGCATACTTAATTTAAATTTAAATAGCTACACATGGTTAGTGGTTATTGTGCTGACTAGCAGTAGACCTTTCTCAATACAGGCAGATAACTATTTCTGTAAAACAATGAATGTGGTTACTTTAGCACAGACACATGCATCAATACATCCTACTACAATGTAGTAAGAAAGATGCCCTGGTAGTAGGGTTTATGACATCTTTTTTGAGAAAAGGTAGGTCCTAATTGTTAATTCTATCTGTATCCTGTGTGTGCATGTGCACACAAGCCCACAGACTCTCCTCACCTGCCCCACCCAACCCACATGCAAGATGTCTGAGAACTAAGAAGATGTGTTCTAACTAGTTTGGTGGTAACTCTCCCTTGGAAGAATAGTTCTTCAATTGGACAAAATATAATATATGCAAATTATCAGGATACTCCCCTTTAGATAATTACAACTGACATTTAATTATGAAGTGTATAGATCCCGGAGAATGAATCCATGTATTTCAAATGGCCCCATTTCATGTGGGAAGAGTGAGGTAACTCTTGTTTTCTTATATTCTTTGTGAAATAAGTCCCATCCTCTGCTGCCCTGTCTTTTTGACTATTTGAATCAATTCATGTTTATGGAGTTGTGTTGAATTACTAAATGTAAATAACAAACTATAGACTCTGTCACTCCCTTCTTAAAAGTACAAACACTACCCAAGTTTTTAGATCAGATCATATATCTCCTCTTATTTGGACTCTGGAGGAAAGAATACGGGTTTTGAAGTTCCGACTCTTAACACCCATTGTATCTGGGTTGGCTCTAACTGCACTGCACACCTGCCCCATATTTCTGCACAGTTTGGTGACCTCCAGGACAGCCAGAATCCATGAAATGGCTAAGGCGGAGAGAGAACAGCTCCAATGAGCCACACTTTTGTGGCTTAGAATGCAGTAGAGAGGAGGTTTCGAAGAATCGATATTAATAATGCCATCTTTCTACTCCAACTCTCCATTCGAAATATGTGTTAATCAAGAGGTCAAATAGATAGAAGTAATTTAGAAGGAAAAGTGACCACTGAAAAACGTACCCATGACCTTCACAGGCATGCTAAGATTTATGAAATGCCATCCAAGGACATACAAAGAAAACACTTGATACCTGGGACATGGGTGAGTGGGTCACACCAGCAGAACCCACAGATGCGATCTCAGGCTTGAATGGGTCAAAGTCCAAATCCAGCAAAGTCTCCTCTTTCTTTGCTTCAGGGACTTCATTCTTTTAAAAAACAAAACAAAAGATGCATTTGCTTGAGTCTGATCAGAATTCAGAGATACCCAGTAAATAATCTCTTTAACACTGTCATTCGGGATCCCCAAAGTATACTTGATCGTTTACCATTTAGAGCCATATTCAAGTGGCCCTAGAGTCAGGCATTCAGGTGACTGTGACGAGAAAGGAAATCATCTTCTGGAGCTCTGGTGGTGTCGTGGTTACATGTTGGGTTGTAATCTGCATGGTCAGCAGTTCAAAACCACCAGCAGCTCCATGGGAGAAACACTGGGCTTTCTACTCCCACAATCACAGTCTGGGAAACTCACAGGGGACTGCTATGAGTCAGCACTGACTTGATGGCCATGAGAGGTCAAGTACAGTGAAATCATCTGGGGGATATCGTAGATTTCCTTCTAGTCCTTTGTGCAGCCAAAAAACAGCATGTCTGAGAGACATTTCTTAATTTCATCCTAATCAACGAAATCAGCATCTCTGTTTATTCAGATAGCTCAGGTGTCCAGGGAAGCACTGTGTGTCTACTGCAATCCTACCTGCCCAAGTCTTCTGTGGTTCCCTAATTTTGTTACCAGATAATCCATTTTCCATTCATATTATTGTCTCTCCTGACTGTGCATGTGCATATGATGGAAGGCAGGAAATAGGGAGGATAGAACAGAGCCATGTCCCGCATTCACTGGAAAATGAGCCCTAAATTTATTGCATGCTTGGATTAGTGATGGGCTCGGTCTATCAAACAAAAAATAATAATTTTTAAAATAGCTATAATCCTGAACATTAAGATTCGTTCATTCATTTGTGGGATTGTGACATAGGAAAGTAATACAGACTTAAAGATGACCTAACTTTGGCTTGGAGGAGCACTGGTAGTGGTTTATGCATTGGGCTGCTAACTCTAAGGTTGGCAATTTGAAAGCACCAGTCACTCCATGGGAGAAAAACAAGGCTTTCTACTTTCACAAAAAAGTTCCAGTCTCGGAAATCCACAGATGGGGTCACTGTGTACAAGAATTGACTCGATGGCAATGATTTATTTCCTAGTTCTTCTGAAAACTAGTCTCATGGTTTTGCTTTTATTTTGGGGGTCAGGAGGCACCTAGGTTCAACTGCTTATGATCACTGTGAAAGAGCAGAACTGAGACAAAGTCTTCATAAGCAATACCATCGTGAAGAGAATTTAAGTCAGTTTTCATACAATTTGAGCTATATAGGTTGTTTTTTTATAGAAGCCTCAATTTGTGATCATCTGTGTTGCTGAGAAATTAAAAAAAAATCATACTAATGGACAAAGTGTTACATACAGATAAAAAAGCTTATATAAAAAACTTTAAAGGGCTGGAATTATTTTAATTAATATTGATCTTAGGCATAACATTTTTGAAAATTTTTAAATGTATGGAAAGCTTGTGGATATAACACTTCTCAAAGTACATCCACACACTTTGTAGAAGGGAAACTGCTTATTTTCACATTGAGTTTTCTATTTTTCAGCGTGATTACTCCTGGTAAATATATATATACAATTAGTTTCATAAGGCTAATCCTCTGTTGAGATTTCCTTAGAAATTAAAAAACAATCACTGCCATGGAGTCACTGCTGACAATTACAAGCACAAAATTAACTGACTCTAATGACCTTGTTCCATATCCACCAAAGACTAATTTTTTAAGAGTTTTATTGGTATGTAATTCAAAAACAATGCAATTCAAGAGTACAATTATATTAAGAGGAGTTGTACAATCATCACAGCAATCAATTTTAGAACATGTTCTTCAATCTTGACCTCATCATTATTAGCCCCCATCTCCCCTCAACCCCCCCTGCAATACTCCCAAGGAACCGTTCATCCAGTTACCAGCTCTACAGAAATATTTTATTATTTGATCTCCCTGTTTACCCATTTAAAAGTTGTTTCAATTTAAAAAGGGGGGGGGGAGTGAAATCCGCATGGATTAAGCCTCTGGTGAATCCCCTCTGACCATAGGCCAGGGAGGTGAACAGCCTTGCTGTCATGCAGAGAGCATTGGAAAAGTGGCTTATTGCAGATGCAGTTAGGTTAAAATTAAACACTTTATCATTTGATCTCTCTTTTGACACATTTTAAATTTGTCCTAATTTTTCATACTTTCTGTTTTCTATTGAGATTTTTCTCTGGTTTACTTTGCTATTATTTGTTAGTTTTTTGTTGTTTTCTTTTTCAGTGTTTTCTGTATATGAAAGCATTGCCTCCTTGCACCACCCTCACAATTATATTTGCGTCCACTGTTGCAGCCACTATGTCAATCTATCTTGTCAAGGATCTTCCTCATTTTCTCTGACCTTCTAATTTACGAAGCATTATGCCCTTTTCCAGGGTTTGGTCTCTCCTGATACTGGATCCAGAGTACATGACAAGAAGTCTTGCCATCTAAACCTTTAAGGACCATTCTATCTGTGTTTCTTCCAAGACAGGTTCACTTGTTCTTACAGTGGTCCATCCTACTTTGAATATTCTTCGCTGATACCATAATTCAAATGCACAGCCACCCTACATAGTGTTTCTGAAAACATAAATCTTTTAAATTTGTTTTTCTGCAAACTTTTTATTATGGATTACATGGAGGTTTGCATTTCAGATCTCTTTTTGTTATGTTTGGTTTTGTCATTGTTTTCTTTCAACATCATAATTTTCCTTTAATATTTGAATCTACATTAACAAAACTGGTTACATTTTTAAAAAGAATTTATTTGGTTTTGAAGCACAGTCTGTCCAAGATATAAAGACTCAAGAACTTTGTGTCAGTTCCATATTATTAATGTCAAATTCAAAGGAATATTGTGTAAATTGAAAAGTAATTCTAAATGTATCAACATTTACAAAGTGTTCTCCAGATTTTGCAGCCAACATACAAAATGATGCTAATGTTGCTTTGTTTTGATGAATCTTTCATTGTGAATTAGGTGGGGGATTTACACTCCAGACCATCCATCTCCGCATTTGATAGGTTGAGTCACTCAGCCTCCTCACCTGAATTCTATCCACACATGCCCTGTGCCCCTTGATTGCTCTGCTCCCTTTTATGGAACTTCATCCTCCACATCAATACGGATCATCCTTCTAGTGCACTGCCTTATTTTCCCACCTGTGGCTTCCCTCCCTTGGGAACCTCCAAAATCTATTCCCTTGGTATGCAAGTGATTGTCTTGATTTTTATCTTTATACAATATTGACACTTTTGTGATCGAGCAACTTCACTCAGCATAATGTTTTGCAGGTTCATCCATGTCATGAGATGTTTCATGATTTCATCATTGTTTTTGTTTTTTTTTGAATCAGCTCCAATTTATTCTAATGAAAGAAAAAGTCATCCCAGAACCTGATAGTTTGGAATTATGGATTAATTGGGTGCTCACTGTTTTTAAGGATGCATAGTATTCCATTCCATGGACCAAAGTTTCTCTATCCATTCTTCTAATGGTGGGCATTGTGGGCTGCTTCCAACTTCTTGCTATTGTAGACAATGCTGTGATGAACACACGAGTGCATGTGTCTGTTCAGGTTGTGGCTCTTAGTTCTTGAGGGCATAAGTAGACAGTATTGACTACTGTGTCGTATGGAATGTCTCTTCCCAGCTGTTTGAGGTAGTGCCATATCACATTCCACAGTGCTTGGACACATTTATAGATGCACCAGCAGTTTATGAATGTTCCTATAACTTTGTACCCTCTCAAGCATTTTTTTGTTTTATTTTTAATTGGGCTTTAATTTTCAGTGTATGGTGGTATGTCATTCTTCATGGATGGATGATGATCATGAGCATTTTTTCATGTTTGTTAGCCATTTGGAGGTCTTATTCGATGAACTGTTTTGTTCATGTCTTCTGCTTAGTTATTAATTGGACAGTTTTTTCTTATTGAGGGATTGCAGTTTTCTGTAGATTGTAGAGATTAGCCTCGTTTGCCGTGTCATTGCTAACGAGGTGTTCCCGGTCTGTGGACTCTCGTTTTACTCTTTGATGAAGGGTTTTGATGCACACAGTGTCGTATTTTTGGGTGGTCCCATCATCTATTTTGTCCTCGACTGTGTGTGCTTCCTCACATTATGTTTGATTGATGCTTATTGCCCTGCAAATAGGGCCCTTAAATTTGTCCTTATTTTCTCATTGATGATCTTTACAGTTTTGGAGTTTACACGTAGGTCTTTGGTCCACCTTGAGTTCATTTTTGTGTATATTTGGGGCAAGCGATGGATCCTGTTTCATTCTTCTGCAGATGCGGATCTGATTTTGGCAGCACTATCTGTTAATGAGGCTGTCTTTCTTCTTTAATGCTCTTTTGGCCCTTTGTTGGAAGATCAGTTGTCTGTAGGTGGATGGATTTATTTCTGGGTTTTCTATTTCATTGGTGTATGTACCAATCATTGCATGAGTATGAGGCTGTTTTGATTACTGTAGCTCTTTAATAGTTTTGAGGGTCTGGTAGTGAGAGGCCTCTTCCTTTGTTCTTCTGAAGAAGTTCTTTGCTTCTGTGGGTCCCTTAGTTCTTCCTAGAAAGTTAGTGATTTGTTCTTTCACTCCTCTAAGGAGCGGAGTTGGAATTGCACTGTACTTATAGATTGCATTGGGCACTGCTGACATTTCCACAACGCTAAGCTTTCCTAACCATGACCATGGAGTAGTCTTTCATTGATAAAGATCTCTTTTTCTTATTACAGTGCTCTATAGTTGTTTTTTTTTTTTGTATAAGCCTTTCGTTTCTCTGGTTACATTTATTCCTAAAGCATTTCATCTTTTGTGTAAAATTTTATTTTTTGTAAATGGTATTGTTTTCTTGATTTCTTTTTCAGCAGTCCCAGTGTACAGGAGCCCATTGATTTCGTGTGTCACTCTTGTATCATGCCACACAGATCTTTCCATTGTTTCCAACAATGTTCTTTGTCAAGTCTTTGGGCGTTTCTCTATATAAAAAGTCCTATACCCTATAAATAGTGAGAGTTTCACTTCTT